CTGTTGGTTCTTTTGGCAGCCCATGGCACTTTCAATATTCTAGGATTCCATTAATCAAGTAGGAGATGAGAAAAATGCAACACTCTTCTCTCTTCCCCTCAGGCCCAACAATCTTTTGCCAAATCCTATTTAAAATCTTTTCTTTCTAATCCTACTCTTTACTAGTAAACCCCGATCATTTCTGGCTTTCACATTACCTCCAATTTTGTACCCACTCTACATCATCCCCCACACTGCTTCTATAGTAAAATTAATCACATGTCATTCCCCACTTAAAACTCATCCTGCTATTCCTGCTTGCCTACAGAATGAAGTTGTAACTTGAAATCAGAGTAAACATATAAACTTTCTGTTGCCTACTTTCAGGATCACCTCTGTCCACATACTTACTATGTTCATAGTGAAATACTTTCAGGCAATTATTTGCATCTGCAGTGCTCTTCCCGCTCATCTTTCAAGATTTTCATAAGCCTCTTTACAGAGCTCATTCTTACACTTGTGGGTGAAATTAACTACTCTTTAGTGCCCCATGACATCCATGGCATCTACCTCTTTTGATTACATTTATCTAATCTAGATTTAAACAGCAATTCAGCTACTTATTAGCTGTGTAAATCTGGGCAAATTAATCTCCCTGAGCTTATCCCATCGAGGGAAATAACACATGGGGTTATTATGAGAAAACAACGAGAGAACATAGTGTAAATGGTAAGTACTTGGAAAATGGTGGTATTTTAATTATAATTTCAATGTCCCTAACTCCACTATGTGCAAGCATAAACAACAAAATTAAAATAAACAAACAGACCTTTTAGAAATGAACTATAAAAAGCTACACAAATACATGGCATTTTTTCAAAAACATACTAAATTCTTAAATGATTACTAGTTGTCTGAAGGAAGAGAAAAGGATACTGGGAAGAATGTTGGGTTGGAGAAATCAAGAATATGCTGGGAGGAACCACCAAAGAGTGAGGCTTAATTTTACTGTACATTCCAACCCCCATCTGAGACAACCTTTATTATTTTTCCTATGCTTCTCTGTCCACTTGGCAAACACCTACTCGCTAAGAATCTAGCAATGCATCACTGCTATTTGGATTAAACTGTTGCCTCCTAAATTCCTAAGAGCCACAGTTTTGTCAATAACAGACGATGTTCCCAGTTGGTAACTTGCATCCGGCTGACACTTAGCTAGAGCTCTAGTACGTTCACTTCCTGCCATATGACGCCTTCAAAAAACGTTGGTCGGATGCATAAAAATAACACAACACACCCGTCTAACACACCAACACAAACGTCAGTATCCACAGGCTCCGTAACCCTGAGCGCTAATTCACCGCCAGACCGATAACCCGGCCACCATTCTATCCCCTCACCGGCCGTCACAAACGCACGCTGCGGGCGCCTGCTGGCCTACTCGACCGCGGCGCGAAATCGAAGCCACTCACAGGAAATTCTCCATCGCGATGCGGACGATAGAGCCCTCCACGAAAGGCCCGGACGACTGCAGCGGTACCGGCAGCGGCGTTGACGTGGCAGAATTTTTTCTCTTGTTCGGGGTCTCAGACGAAAGATCTCTCGGAAGAACTCTCTTGGAGGTCTGGGAGTTTGAGGTCGACGTCTTCCTGCTAGAAGTCGCCATCCTGGCCCCCTCTCTGCCCCGCAGTTGCTTACGTTCCCACCGACCTGCTGGCCGGGTGCCCAGGCTCCCGGCTCCCGCGCGAATTGCGCGGTACGCGACAGCTCCAGGGAGCCCGCCTGGCGCCTGCGCACTTCCGGCCCGGCCGCGTCTCCGGGCCCGCCCCCCCCTCCCTCGCGGAGCCAGGCCCAGGCCTGCTTAGTGAAAACACCGGAAGGATTGGGATGGTAGTTGAAACATGCTATGATGAGACATTCTTCTATGTACATTGCTGCATTTTTCAGAGTTTTTTTGTTCTGTTTTAACTCAGAAAAAGGTGCCTGTTGTTTTTAGTATTATAAAACCACTTTAGCGCTGCAAGGACCCGGATGGGCTTCCAGACCCTAGGTCACGTGCGACAGAGGGGTCAAAGGAGGGCGGTTGCTGGGCTACGGGGGCCTCGGGGTTGCCCGAGTTGGCGGCGTCGGACAGCTATGACTCCGACTCCACCTGAGCGCACCCGGGCACGCCCACCTTTGGCCCCTAGTCCTCCGGGGTTTATTCCTCAGGAAAACAAAACTCTTTAAAATGATGCTGTTCTGTTGTCTCCTGTACTCTCAAATTTGTGGAACAGAGTTCACTACACAAATTTATCTTCCTTGACTTTTCACATCTTCCCTCCCTAAATTCCCTAGAAAGATTTCCTCCCCAAGGTTTCTAGAAATTTCCAACCTGGCTCTGGGTTCATTGAAAGAGTGTTTGTGTTATGGCACTGCGCAGAGTAAGAGACTCAATCCCGGATCTCCAGAGAGCAAGTTTATGCCGGCGGACAGAGTGTCAGCTATTGCTTAAATCACTCTGACCCCGAGTGCTTAAAAAAGTGAGCTTATATACAGGTTGGTTACATATGGGTGCATAAGTAGGTGTTGCTAGCAGTAGGGTGGAACATTTTCAGTTAAACACTTCCTGTTATTCAATGTTTGCAAAGTTTGTTTCAGCCTTGCCACTTTCCTGGTATGTGCACAGAGTGGCCAAGGAGAAACATGCTGTTCTTTGTTTAAGGGGTGAGGGGCAGTGCAAGAAGGTCCCAGCAACCTTCCCTCGTCTATCCAACTAACCATGCCCTCATTATAAATGAGGGACAAGCTAGACCTATATGGGTATTTAGTGACTCAACTGATATTAATGTACCATCTATATTAGGCTGGGTGCTATGAAGGAAATTAAACGGAATGAATGTGATGGGAGAGGCACGGAAGGCCTGTCAGAGGTGGTGCCTGAGCTGAATCCTGAAGGACAAGAGCCATGTGTGAGAAGATCTAGGAAAAGAGCATTTCAGGCAAAGAACAAAACAAGGACAAATGCCCTGAGGTGGGAGGATTGAGGAGCAAAGGAAAGGCCAGTGTGGCTGAGTGTAGTGAACGGTATTGTCCGCCATCCTGTTGGTGTTAATTACCAGCCAAGTCTGCTCAGACTTAAGTAGAACAAAACAAAGCCTTGCCTGTTGCCGCTGGCTTTTCAATCCAGTCGTGGTATGTTTGTTTAAGCCAATTGTTGCAGTTGTGTCAGTTCTTACTGAAGACTTCATTCATTATTTTAATGACCATCTTACCAGATATGATGCCTTTTTTTTTTTTTTTTTTTTTTTTTATCTGTCACTGCACTGCAGTATCTCCCTCAGTTTTTTTGTTTTTTTTTTTTTTTTTTTTTAGCTGTTTGTCCACCATAGCCCACCATAGCAGAGTCTAGATTTTGTTTTCAAAGCCATGGGGTAGTTTTAAGCAAGAGGAGGGGACATGATGTAATTCAGGTTTGCTCTGTGGAGAATGTGTGATGTGGGGAGGGTCAACTGTGAGAGCAAGGACGCTATTGCAGAACTCATGGGCCAATAGTTCATTCCCAGGACTGTGCTGCTTCCCCTTATATGAAATCTACTCTTTTCAAAGTTATAATAGATGAAAATAAAATAGTAATACACATGAATTCCTCATGCTACTTGTAATAATCTTTACGGGACCAGAAAGCCTCATCTGTACAGGGTCGCTATGGGTCGGAACCAACTCGACGGCACTTAACAACAACAACTTGTAATAAGGAGCTCTGGTAGCATAGTGGTAGTGAATTGGGCTGTGAACCTTATGGTCAGCAGTTTGAAACTACCAGCCACTCCGCAGGAGAAAGATGAGGCGTTCTGCTCCCATAAAGATTTACAGCCTCGGAAACCCTGTACAGGGTCGCTATGGGTCGGAACCATCTTGATGGCACTTAACAACAACTTGTAATAACCAAGGAGGGGCATGTCTGACTTCTGAGATGTCACCAGGGAGGATTAAACTCAGTATCAGCCCAAGTCCCATTCCTATGAAGTGGAGGTCAGACATGCCTTCACGCTACACGTGTCCTTACCCTACTCTGACACCAACCACCCTTCCCGAAGTGCTCGTCTTTACTTCTGAGTTCGACAATCCATTGCGATGGCCACACAGAACTCTACAATACTCATAATTGTGGGATTTATTAGGAAAGTGAAAGGGGTTCAATTCAGGATTGGAAAGGATGTGGCACGTCTCCAGTTAGGAATGCCTCTTACCTACCACACTGTAGACGTGCCTCACGCATGTCTTCAGCCTCTCAGCCATGTGGCCCCAAAGTCTGTGCCCTGCTCCGGCAAGTGTTACCAAGCTCCTTTAGTCAGTCATTAAATGTCCAATTGGCACACTCTGCAAGCCAGACTTCTGCCTGTAGGCACTCAGCTTTACTCAGTCCATGGCCTAGATTCCTACACCTGTTCCAAGTTGCTGCTTCTGTCACTGCCTCTGCTGTTGCTGCTCTTCTAGGTAGGGATCTCACACTCCACTCACATTCTTCTTTCTTGATGGTCCTAGATCATCTGTTCCTGCTTCTGAGATGGTTCCTTTTAAACCTAGGTGGGTGGCAAAACTAACCAATTCTAGCCTTATTGTTCTATATACCTTATTTGCATAGTCCCACCCAATCACTTGGTAAGAATTAAGATATTGGATGCAAAATGTACCATATTGCTCCACACTGCCCATTGACATGGTGGCACTGTGGGTTAATAAACTAGGCTGCAAAGTCAGTTTGAACTGCAAGGTTGGTGGTTCAAGTTCACCAGTCACTCCTTGGAAACCCTCTAGAGGGTTGCTGTGTGTTGGAACCGACTCAACAGCATTTAACAACAACAACAATAGAACAGAGTAGAACTGCGCCATGGAATTTCTGAGGCTGTTAATCTTTAAGGCCGCAGAGACCCTCATCTACTCCCATAGAGTAGCTGGTGACTACGAGAAATGTTTTTTATAAAAGAGTAACTTAAAAACTGTTCAAATGGCAGGGAATAATGAAAACAATGTCAAAATCAGGTCCAGATGGCTTTACGGTGGCACTGTTGGGTACATATTGGGCTACTAACCACAAAGTTGACAGTTCAAAATCACCAGCTGTTCCCTGGGAGAAAGATGAGGCTGTCTACTTAGGTAAAGATTTACAGACTCAGAAACCCTATTGATGGTCAATATGAATTAGAATTCACTTGATGGCAGTAACCATGTGATGACTAATTGCAGTTGCTGTTCCAGATGTAGTTTCATTGCTTGAGCAAATTAACACATCTGGTACGTGGTATGCAGCTACTGATCTGGCTAATGCTTTTTTTCTCAGTTCTGGTTTTGAAGCATCACCAGAAGCAGTTTGGCTTCAGTTGGCAAGACCAACAATACCCCTCCACCATCATACCTCAAAGTATATTCATTCTCTAGCACTATGTCATAATTTGGAGTCCTGGTGTGGCGCTTTGGGTTAATGTGCCAGACTGCAAAGCTGTTTGAACTGCAAGACTGGTGGTTCAAGCTCACCAGATGCTCTTTGGAAACCCTACACAGGGTTGCTATGGGTCGGGATCGACTCAATGGCACTTAACAACAACATGTCATAATTTACTTTGTAGAGACCTTGATCACCTTTTCCTTCCACAAGATGTCACCCTGGCCCACTATATTGATGACATTGTGCTGATTGGACCTAGAAAGGAAGAAGTATCAATGACTCTAGACTTATGGAGTCCTAGTATGGCATTACAGTACAAGCACTGAATTGTTAACTATAAAGTCTGCAGTTCAAATCAACCAGCCTTTCCTCAGAAACACTATACAGGGTTGCTATGAGTCAAAACAGCACTCAACAGCACTTAACAAAAACATACTTATTGGTAAAACATTGGCATTCTAGAGGGTGAGAAATAAATGCAACTAAAATCCAGGTGCTTTCCACCTCAGTGAAATTTCCAGGGGTCTAGTGGAGTCCTTCTTTCTTGTCTTCTTAATGACTTTTTGCTTTCTTCATGTATGATGTTCTTGATGTCATCCCACAACTCTTCTGGTCTTTGATCTTTAGTGTTTAATGTATCAAATCTGTTCTTCAAATGATCTCTAAATTCAGGTGGGATATATTCAAGGTCATATTTTGGCTGTCATGAATAAACT